GCCAATCTCCTCCCACGTGCCTTGCAGGCCTCAAAACCCACTACAGGCTCAGCTCTACATCAGTTCCAACCCGGTGGCAAAGAGATGACCTTGAGAAATCTTAATAGAAGGAGACTGTCCCTCACTATCTGTGAGAACAGCTAGTGGATTTGAACCACTAGAGACTCAGAGCCTTTTGGTTCCAACATAACTAGCTACAGAATATATTATCCACACCCAATCAACCAGGTAACCTCCCTGTGGGCTGCCAGTAAGCAAGGACCTAGGATGTGGTCCCTTCTAACTCGGGACTTAGAGTCAGTTAAAGACATAAAGCTAACATTTTTTTAAATGGATAAAGACAGGTGGGAGTGTAAAATGGTGCAACCCCTGTGGAAAGCAGTATGGCGCTTTCTCAAAAAGTTGCAAATAGAGATACCATTTGACCCAGCAATTCCACTACTGGGAATATACCCTGAAGAGACCATAGCTGACATCCAAGCAGATATATGCACACCCATGTTTATTGCAGCTTTGTTCACAATAGCAAGGAGTTGGAAACAACCTAAGTGCCCATCAACAAACGAATGGCTAGAGAAGCTGTGGTATATTCGCACAATGGAATACTATGCTGCATTAAAAAACAAGGAACTCATGCAATATTATTCAAAATGGTTAACTCTGGAGAACATTATGCTGAGTGAAATATCCCAGTCACAAAGGGACAAATATTACATGATGCCACTGTTGTAGAATGGGACTGTCCTTGGGGTTGGGGAGAGACTGAGTAAGATGGGTTCAATGATGTGTGCTGCACTGAGGCGGAGGAGGGAGGGAACTGTTTAAAAGAGATATATAACTGGGTGTTTCTGTTATCACAGGAGTCTAGAGCGAGGGCTGCATGGTGGAGGGGACCTGGGGGGGGGGTGGTTTGTGGAACAATGAAAGAATCTTTTCTTTTACTTTTCCATAATATTTGACTCATGTACTTATAACTTGTTAGTCAAATTTGTGTCTTCTAGGTTGCAACACCCCCATGATACATCTTCAAGGATATGAACATGTACGGCCAAGCACAATCAATAAGAGTGCATCTAAATTCCAAAATCAATCTCCATAATAGTCTATGTGTTTCCTACTGCCAAAGGGGCCCTTTAGAGTAGTGAGAGAAGATCTTCACCCTGAAACCCACAGTGTCCCTTATCAGCAGGAAGTAGCTAAGAGAATACGCCATCCCCTTTTCCTTATGACTCAGTGTGAAGTCTCTCTCAGGGAGGAGTGATAGGGAATGGCAAAGGACACACTGACAAAGAAGATTGGTCAGAACTGGCTTTGACAAGCACTGTGGCATTTGGACAAGAACAAACTGGGAGGAGGGTGGAGAGAATGGTGCAGCGGTGAATGAATGGAAACCCAAAATCTCTGTAAATGTTTATGAAAATTAATAAAATATAATTATAGAAAAAAAAGACATTAGGAACCTGATTAGGATACACAATCATACCCCCTGTGATAGTGGCAGTAAATGTAATTACTACATGGAAAAAACAAAAGCAAACAGAAAAAAATCCATCAACATCAAATCGATTCTACCTTGTAGTAATCCCAGAGAGTCCCCAAAGCCATAATCTTTACAGAAGCAGACTGCCACCATCTTTTACCCACAAAGTAACCAGAGGATTCGAACAGCCAATCCTTTCATTAAGCAGTTGAGCCCTTTAACTGCTGTGCTACCAGGGCACCAGAAAGGAAAGTGAGGCTTTAACAGTAAGTAAAGCAGTTGGCTCTCATGGGTGTCTCAGAGACACTGGAGCACTCAGTCTGCTCCCTGGACATGCTCCTGGGCCAAACAGATCATCCGTGAGTTCAAGCGCGCCTGGATGCTTCCCATGGAGCAATGTTAGCCAGTGCTCATTTAACACTGCCCAAAGCGGTGCACAAGGCAGACAGCGTATCCAATGGAGGTGCATGTGGGCAAACAGAAAAGGAAGCAGGGAGCAGACACAGAGATGATGCGCCAAAGGACAGAGAGGAATCACATGCATTTTCCAAAGGCTCATCAGGCATTTCGCTCCATGAAACACTCTAAACGTGAATAAGACACAGACGCTACCAGCAGTAGCCTCTCTGGGACGCTGGGATGGCTTGGGAGTCGCCGTAGGGCTGGAAGCCATGTCACTGATGTTTCTAACACCAGCAGCGTCACCAACAGAGGACATGATCCACTGGACAGTTTCTCATACTAAGAAGAAAGGTCTCGAGATCTACTTCTGAAGACCAGCTGATGAAAACTCCAAAGTTCACAAGAGAATGCTGCCTGATACACCGCTGGGAGATAAGCCCCGAAGATGAGGCAAACCAGAGAGACCTACTGCTGTCCGATCGATGCTGGTGCTGTGAGATCGCCCATAAAGATCTGAGGCTGTAAATCTTTATCATCTTTATCCCAGGAGCAGCTAGAGACTCACATCACCAAGCTTTTGGTTAGCAGCCAGACACGTATTACAGAGGGCACTGAAAATACGCAGTGAACCCACCAATGGGCTCAAGCAAACCCTTAACTGTGAAGACGACACAGCCAGGCAACGGCCCTGAGAACGGACCATCTCCACTTCCTGCCTCCCCACCCTCCACTGCTTCCCCAAACATAACTGATGCCACAGTGCATGTTAACATTTCTAACAGGGTACAATGTTTCTCCACCAGGCAAGGAGAATATACATTTTAAAATAAAATTTCTGTTGGCAAAATGAGGTCAAGGCAAGGTGGAGATTTTACAAAATATCTCATATCCAGAAATAATAAAAACATGAAAAGTTCTGCTCTGTTAATTCACTCCATGTCTGTCTAAGGGTTCAGTTACATTTCAACAGGACAGAGTTGTAGTAGATTGAATTGTGTCCCTCAAAATATGTGCACACTTAGCTGGACCATGGTTCTCAACAGTTGGGCCATTATGTAGTCATGCAATTTGTCAGTAATGTAATAATTTAATCACACACACCCACTTCAGGATTTGATATAATGTGGAAACTATGCAATGACCCCATGGTCTGATACACCAAATAGTTGCAAAGAATTAAAGGTGGAATGCAACACCCCTGAATCTCATCACAGCCCTAACAGGGAAGGGGAGTTTCCTGAGGGTGTATACTATTTTTTTTCTCACAAAAGATAAAAGGGGAAGGAAGCTGGCCAGAAGAGGAGACCTCAGGACGATCAAGAAAGAGCGACTGGGAAGGGAGTGCATTCTTCAGGGGCAAGGCCAACGCTTCAGGAAGCTCCTTGACACCTGCAAGACTGAACACATGGAGATCTCCAAGGCATGACAGGCCCCAGATGCAGAAGGAAGCATGAAGCTTCCTCCAGAACCAGTAGAAAGACGGGTCTTCCTAGAACTAGCCCCTGAATTTGGGCTTCGAGTCTCTTAAACAATGAGAAAATAAGTTTCTGTTTGCCACACCATTCACTTGTGGTGTCTGTGTTACAGCAGCAATGGATAATTAAGACAGAAAAGATGCAGGAGAGGGCTGCATGTGCCTGGGATGGGCAGAACCTAAATATGAGACTTGGTACAAATGCAACTCTCTCAATATGCTGCTATCAGCACAGTAATGGTCTAAGCCCCAAAGGCACTTTGTCAGGGGAGAGATAAGGACCACTCCCAGGCTGCAGTCGGAATGCTACATCAGAGGAGCAGTGGACAGACGATTAGCTGGAAGATGGCCCACATGGAGCCCCGATTAGCTGGAAGACGGCCCACATGGAGCCCCGGCAGGAGTGGATGGCGGGGCGTGGAAAGCACTATGAGTGAGGAATTCGTTTCCAAATATCCTTTTACAATCAGAGCAGAGACAGTTGAAAGAAATTCACTAGACTTGTGGTGATTCAGAGGTTAAACTACAGAAGAGCCCAGGCAGCACAGTGGTTAGGTGTTTGACCACTGACCAACAGGTGAGTGGTTCAAAGCCATCAATCAGCTCCCATAACATCACACTCTTGGAAACACTATCGAGTAGTTGTGTTCCGCCCTATCGGGTTAGTATAGGTTTGACTCTCCCCTGTAGGGGCACTAGGAGTAGATATCAACTCAACGGAAGTTGATCTGGTTGGAGTTCAAGAGTAGAAAAGTTAGGAGCATCTCTCTAAAGGACAGGCATACAGAAGAGGGCCCCGAGGGGGACAGACTCCCATGAATGACTATGGAGCTGGGGGTTCGGAGATAGCAACTATCTTAGAGATCTGACCGAAAGGCCCTCTTGGACAGGCCCCAAACGAGTAGGAATGAAGATTTTTCCTAGATGCCCAAACCCAAACAAACACACTGCAATCAACCCTGATTGTAGGACAGAGCAGGATTACTCTATCAGCTTCCAAGACTGTCAATCTTTATAGGACCAGATTGCTTCAAATGTCTCCAGAAGAGCAACTAATGGGATTGAACCATCAAATTTCTGGTTAGCAGCCCAACACAACTCAGCGTACCACCAGAGTTCCTTTCAGGGCCTCACTCAAACTCAACGCACTGCCATGGAGTCAGACCCAGCGCAGAGCTGACCCTCCAGGTGCAAAGGAGGAGACGGTCCATCTTATTCCCATTTGAACCGTCTGCCTTTGGGCCAGCAGTCCAGCTCCTTTACCTGTTAGGCTATAAGAACTCTCTTTCTGTTTCCCACAATTCCTAGAACAGATAGACCAAGATGAGAAAGATCACTGAGACACGGAGCAGTTATATGAGTTGTGTTAAGTGTGAGCCCCCCGTTGAGCTCTGGCTGGGACAGAGACATGTCTGGATTTCCAAGTCCAGGCTGTGTCCACTTCAAGCCACACTGGACCTGTGATCTTAGGAACCAGCTTTGATTTTAAGTGAAGCCTTACCTGAAATAGATAAAGGACAGAGCTTTGATGGTTATAATTCAGACAATCTGAGCAATATGCCTCGTCTGCTGCCTCTACAAACTACAGCAGAGTGGGCTTGAGTCAGATACGGGTATTGAGAGGGTTTGGCAGCAAGAACTCACCGATGAAGTAGTTGTGTCCCAGGGCAAGCATCTCCTCCAGGAGAACCAGGGCCCCAGGGGCCTGGAGGAGGGTCATGCTCCTCCCATCGATGAGGGAGCACTGCTGGAATCCAGTGGCCGTGACCTTCCACAACAGAATCAGGGAAGCAGAGGCATCTTGCCGAATTCTAAAAGCAAAAGCAGTATAAACAGAAAGTCACTTTCTGGAAAATTTCCCTCAGAACCAACTCTTCAAGTTAAAATAAAAATGACGTGAACATCCAAAAAGGTACTAGGCAGTGGATGAGTTGACCTTCAGAACCAGCCACGTATTTGGCTGTACATACTGGGATCATTTTTCTCATTTGTTGGGAAAATCCCTCATCCATGTATTTAAAGAAGTCTGGTGGTGCTGTCACTAACACTGCACACTGTTAACCAGCAAATCAAATACACCAGCCACTCCACACAAAGATACAGGACACTGCCAGCTCTCTTAAGGATTTATTGTTATGGTTGGTGTTGCTGTTGTGTGCCATCGAGTCACCTTCAACTCAGAGAGACCCTATGTATAGTAGCTCTGTACCTTATCCTATCCTGAGCCAGTCTCACTGACTCTGACACACCTAATCCCATCACCCCAGTCACTGTGTCAATCCATCCCATCCAGGGTCTTCCTCTCCTGCTCTGTCCCTTCATCCTTCCAAACATGATGCCCTTCTCCAAGAACCAGTCCCTCCTGGCCACATGCCCAGGGTATGTGAGATGGAGCTTCAAAATCCTTTCCTCCAAGGAGGAACTTGGTTTCACCCTTTCTAAGACAGACCTGTTTGTTCTCTTTGCAGTACACGGTATATTCAATACTTTTCTCCAGCCCCACATTTTGACCTTCTGTCATCCTTAGTCGTTGTCCAGCTCTCTGATACATAGCAAGTAACTGCAAAGACCATGGCCTGGATCAAGCACACCTTACTCTCTAGACTGACATCATTGCTCATTAGCCCTTTGGAGAGGTCCCTGATAGCAGATTTGCCCAGTGCAATCCATATTTTGATTTCCTGACTGCTGGTGCCAAGAGTGTTGACTGTGGAGCGGAGCAAGACGAAAGTGTTAATAACTTCAATGTCTTCTCCGTCTACCACGGTGCTGCTCATTGGCCCAGTGGTGAGATTCTTTATCTTATTTTTTTTCTTTTTTATTTTTTTAGATTCTTTATCTTCTTGATGTTGAGCTTTACAGCCTCCAAAACCCAAAGAAATTGTTCTCTTCTGTGCTAGAGGGTCTCTGTGAATCCAAATCAACTCCACGGCAGGAAGTTTTTGGAGTTTTATGTACAAAAGTGTGCACAACTAAATCATCTTTGGATAAAAATTTTCATAAATCATAAAATGAACAGTCTCTTCTCAGAAAGGTTTACAGCCTCGGATATCCAACGGCAGGCTGCTAGGGGATGGAATCCACTTGCCGGCAGTGGACCGTGGGTTCTTAGGAAGGTGCGACACAGTATGGGGTCCTGCTGGAACTGATGACCAACGTGCCCTGCAGCTGAGCGTGGCCGCTGGAGCTAAGCTGCTAGTCAACCTGGCTCCAGCTCATCTTCACAGCCCAATGTTGAAGGAACAACTACTAAGAGCGACTGGCCCTTCCCCAGACAGGCTCCTTCCCAGCCGCCTCATCTACTTAATTTGGCTCCTAATCAAAAGGTTCCTTCACCCAGAAGTACCTCCGAAGAAAGTCCAGGTAACGTGTCTCCAAACAGCCTTTGTAAACCTTACAGTGGAGCAGGTTTCCACGCTGACACCCGTGGGGCCACCTTGAGCCTCTGTTACCTCAACGACAGCTGGTTTTCTTCTCTGCATGGAAAATGCGGGACCCTTCGACATCAAGCCCACATATGCCGCTTCTCTGAGATCTTCCCAGGCCACTCTCTGTCCCTGAGCTCCCAGAGAGCAGGGTCCCTCCCTCGACTAGCAGGTCATCTTCTAACTGCAAACATCTGCTCCGAGCTGCCTCCCCAGACAGAGCACAATGCATACAGCAGGTACTCACGGAGGTCTGGTCACAACTGTGTTCATCGATGTGTGAAAACCTAGTAACCCCACAAGTTCAGTTAGAGAACCTCAAGATCACCCAGCACCCCATCTTACTCTGCTCGGGTCAGACTGAGCCCAGAGCTACACCCTGGAGGAGGCTTAGAGGATTCCAGGTTTGTTGGGAGGAGAAAAAAGCCAAAACCCTTTTCAGGGCTTAGGGGAGGAGAAGCTGACGAGGGCCAGGTACTAGGAACGAGACAAGAGAGGGCTGGGAGATGGTTTCATAGGAGTGAAGAAAATAGAGGCCCTAAAACTGGCTAGTTAGGGGCATCAATGGGGCTGCAAGCACTGGAACACTGAGCCCAGGGCGCCCCCTGCTGGTGCAATGAGACGCTGCCTCACACGCCACATCCCTCCCCCTACGGGATTTTGCCCCCTGGATGCAGTGAGTCACTGTCCACCTCGTGTGGGTTCAAGGCTGGGGTATGAGGGAGACGCAGAGACTGTGCAGCAAAGTCCTTCTTCCAAGCCTTCTCCTCTCAGGGACTCCACTGCTCAGAACACAAAGCACGGTGTGTAAAACATCCTTATGCAGTATCCACTCCTTTGCCCAGTGTCCATGGTCATTGTTGTTGTTGTTAGGTGCCATCGAGTCAGGTCCAACTCACAGTGACGTATGTTCATCAGAATGAAGCAGTGCCAGGTTCCCGGGCAACCTCACAATTGCCGCAGCGTCCAGCTGCTGTGTAAACTATCTCATTGAGGGTCTTCTTTGTTTGCACGGAGCTTCTGCTTTAACAAGCACGATGGCCTCCTCCAGGGTCCTAGCCTCTCCTCATGTTGCTTCCCTTTCACATGGGGCTGATGAAGAGAGTCAGCTGCCCACACTCGTAGGTTCCCTAGTCTTCTGAAACCCCCAAAGGTTGGACATAGCATCTTCTCTGGTGGTCATGGGCAGGGGCAGTTGATGACCACAGGGGAAGGAAGGCAGAGTCTGGCCGCTGTAAAGCTGGAGCCCCAGGACTTGCTGGCTTTGTTCTCTGGGGAATAGCAGCTGGTATCCCTGAGTGCCACTGCAGTGAGCCCAGCCCACAGCAGATGCCCCATCAACGCTCTTCACCTCGTTCCCACTGGTCACAATGACAACACGCCAGACAAAGGAGCTAAAACTTCAAGTAAGACGCTATCTTCCTGACTGCCTGATTTCAAGGAGAAAATCGTAATATTGAGACTTTAAATCGGGCTGCTTTATGTATATGGTATCCAGTGGCCTAGTGGGTAAGGAATTGTGCTGTCAACCCAAAAGCACACAGTTCAAATATACAACCTGTTCTGCAGGAGAGAGATGGTCAGTCTCCTTTCATGCCATTTACTGCCTCTAAAAAACCCACTGGCCAGTCAGCCATGAGCCGGTTCCGACTCGACGGCACACCACAATGCCTGGGTCAGCTGCTCTTTTGCATGTGAGGGAACTCCGGTGGTGGTGTGAGTTAAGTATTAAGCTAATAACCTAAAGGTTGGGGTCTGAGGACACCAGCAGCTCTGCAGTAGAGGGACGAGGCTGTCTGGTTCTGAAATAAATGTGAATCCTGTGGGTCAGTTCCACCCTGACCGAAAGGTCACTAGGAGCTGTGATCGAGGGGGTGGCAAAGGCTTGAGGTTCTAGCTTATGCACATGGATGTTAATTTAAAATAAATTCTATTCTAGAGAGCTCTGGTGGCCTAGTGGCAAGAAGCTGCACTGCAATTACAGAGGTACACAGTTCTAATCCACCAGATGTTCAGCTGGAGAAGGAGGGGCAATCTCCTCCTGCGCCAATTGGATGGGATTTGATGGTACACACAGAAAATAACAAAAAATTAAGTTAAAAAAATTTAAAACAATAAGTTCTACTCTATTTTGTTATTTTATTGTTATTAAATGAAAGGCATTCTGGTGGCACAGAGAGTCATGCTACTAACCCAAAGGGGTACCTCTCTAGTCGTTCAAACCCACCAGGGGTCCCGTGGCAAGAAAAGATGGGTAAGCTGTTGATGAGAGACTTAAGCCTCAGAGCCCCACTGCAGGGCCAGCTGTGCCTGCTCCTGACTGAAAGCAATGAGAGTGAGTCCATGAATGTCTTAAGAGGCTGAATAATTTGGAAAGCAGGTATTCAGAAGGTGGCATGTCTGACCCCAGGCCTCCTCCAAGGCCCCTGGTTTTCAGACCTCATGCGGATTCATCCACAGCAATGCCACATTAATTCTAACTCTAACAACCAACTCTGGCATCACTATCTCTAGGTGTTGAGTGACCTGGGCCTTATCTACACACAGACTCCTTCCATCATTGCCAACAACCAGTTACAGATTCGTCACACAAGGGCACACAGCCCCCAGCATGCCTTAGAGTGAAACCCTGGTCCAGGGAGCACTGTCTTACTTTACAGAGGTGTTCTGCGGCACATCGAAGGACACCAGGCGACCCCCTGCGGAACTGTTGGAACTGGCATTCCCACAGGCAACATCCGGAATCACCTGGGAAAAGAGAAGGGACCAGTTAGTGGAGTCGGCCACAGGATGTGATAATATTTCCACACAGAGTGGTGAAGCATCTGGGTCTTAAGCAAAGGGCTCGTGGTTGAAACCATCAGCCACTCCAGAAGAGAAAGGAGACATAGTCTGCCTTCTTACGTAAAGGTCAACACTCTTGGAAATATTACGGGGCTGTTCTACGCTGTCTTATGGGCTCGTTAGGATTGGCGATGAGTTTGGGGGTTTGCTGCTTGGTTTTCATAAGGTGCTGGAGGGCATTTTCTCCATTTCTTCCCACAGTGCAGAAGCAGGAACGTGGAGAAGGAAAAGTCAACCTTCATTGCAATGAATCTTCATCATTTGTTCCAATGGAAAGTTTTACCAACTGAATTTCTGAAGTGCAAAAGGTTTCCTGAGAGTAGCCTAGTCTGCGGAGCCAACAATGTTACATAACATTTAGTCCAAAGAATTTCACATTCTCAGAGAAGTATCACTACTTCACAAAAAGGGAGTGTACACATGGAAGCCAGACTCAGAGGACCCACGGAGCTGGCGGGAACTTCCAAATCTGGTGCCTAGAAATAATCCTTACATTTGAACCACAACTATCCCAGGAGCCATGGTTAAAACAGACCCCAGTTTAGCCCAATGATCAAAGAATACTTGTCTTGAATGTAGCAGCCTTTCAAAGAATTATCTAGATGAGTCCAGGCTGGCAACAGTTCATTGAAAGCACAGAGGAGAATTTCAATGGGCAGAGAGTTCAAGTTGGCCGTGGTGAGTGAAACAGCAGGAAGTGAGAAAACAGTGACACAACGGGAAGTTATTTTAACCGTTCACGCAGAAATTGTGACTATATGTGTACGTACATGAATATATGACCACTGCCAAAGAAAAATCTCAGTAAATGTTAAACACTGAGTTAACTCAGCATAAAACAATTCTTTTTCAACATTTTTACCCCCATCCAACACACAGGAATTTTCTAGAATGCACAAATGGTCAAATGCTATAAGTACTATACTCTATTTTTAAAAGTGTGAGCCCAACTTGAACTTCATTTGCAAAAACAACAACTGTTACATAACTTTTAATCCTAAAAGGTTCCAAAGAGTGTCAAAGAATTTGCAAAATAAGCATCATTGGTTCACCAGGGGAGCGTCCACACATGCATACCCACGTCGTTCTAGGGCACTTTAACTGCTTCCAGAACAGTCTAGGAACTAACTGTGAGAGTAGAGGAGGTCTTTTCTCACATCACCCCAAATGCAGGGCAGCATGTCTTCAAATACACAGACTGAAACGGCTGGCCAGGGAGAAATGTCCTTTCAAGAGCTGCCATGATAAATGGGGAGACAGATCGAGTCCACATCCAGCAAAGACGTATTAAAATCTGAACTTCAAAGTGGGTATTAGAAGTTCAAAATTACAGCAAGTCCTCAGCCTGGGTTCTGGGTTGTTTTGGGGGATATTATGGAGAGGTTTGTGGGAGAAGGATTGACAATCTCCTCTCATGCAATTACTGTCTTTGAAAACCCACCAGAGGGTCAGCTATGGGTCGGTTCCAACTCTAGGGTACACAACTACAACAGCAGCAACAGGAGGAGGTGTAAGGGAAGCTGAAAGCATTGCCTTTAAGTCTGAATGTGGTGATGGCGGGCACAGGAATTAGAATTACCTGGAAAAGACAAGACAGGAAAAAACACTACCACCCCACCCTTCAGAACCAAGAAGAAAACTGCAGACGCATCGCCTGACTCACATATACGATGCACACGGAGCTCCACGTTCTTTCGTTTCCGCTATGAACTTGACAGCAATATACAAGCCCAGGAAAGCGCGGACATAAGCGTAAACCATGGGTCAGGATCATGCTTTGTCAACATGGCCTCAAACCCAGGATTTGGCTTTGTTCTCCACTGCTCAAGCGGATACATTCACATTTTCTATCAACATAGCAACAACAGTGAGAGTGGCACAGGACTGGCCATCTGATCCTGTGGCACATGAGGTCACTGGGAATGAGAGCTTCACGGACATCATTAATAGCAACTCTTAAGAGGTCTGCTGAAAAATCTACAGAGTGAGGCTTTCGACAAGCTTGAAAACACACGCCACATCCAGAATGTTTTCCGTTTCCACAGAAAGCATTTCTGTTGCCTCAAATAAATAAGATCTCAAAACAGCATCCTCAACTACAGTCTCAGAATAGTTTTAAACCAGTGATAATCTTCTCTTCTCTAAATCTCACCGAGGTGCCATGAGGTACAAAAACAGAAACGTGTAAAACAAAGAGAAGAACTGACCTTGATATTCCATGAAGGGAAAATAGGTCAAAACTTGAAGGTCATGTAATGATAGTTCAGTTATGTCTTTCTAGATTGAGATGTTTGCCCCACAGCTTGTGTGTTAGGGCTTGTAAAAGACTGTTGTTGTTGTTGTTGTTGTTGTTCTTGTTGTTCTTGTTGTTTGCTTTCAAGTCAAGCATGACTCATAGCGACCCCATGAACCAAAAGCCTGAAGCCCCTCTACAACTGTCGACATTTATCAAAGTTCATAGAGTGTCCAGAGGAATGTTGTTTACGAAGTGGATGCCACTGTGAAAGATTATCTTATAGAAATGTATGTGGACACCTTTCCAAAATATGACATCATTCATTCTTTTCTTATATATCTAACCCTTTTTAAAAAGTTCACAAAACTGTCATTTAAATGCTTTATTTGTCTTACCAAGAATGTGTGTGACACACAAGTGTGGACCAGAAAAGCATGATCACTCTTGGCTCCAGCCCACAAGCTCATGACAACCAGGCCACAATGGAGCAACACACGGCATCCGATGACAGAGCTTCCACTCTCTGGTTTACCACCGTAGACTTCACGTCTTTCTTCCTAGCTGGTCTTAGTCTAGAAACCCCACTGACACCTGCTGAGCATCCTAGCAACATGCCAACTTCCACTGGCACGTGGTGGTGGTCATGCCTGAGGTGCACCGGCAGGGAATCGAACCCCTGGTCTCTCGTATGACTGTTGTGTCTCACAAAACAAGGTTAGATACTGGGGGGGTTTTCAGTAGGTAGCATCAAACTTTCTATTTTTATCTCCAACAGAGAATCACAAGAATTAGAACCAAATGCTGGTTTCTTACATAAAAAACAGATGCGATAACACAGCCTCACCTCCACTTGATCCCATTTCATCTCCACAACTTTCTGTCCCGTTTTGGGCTGCCACATGGGCAGTGTCGTGGTTGCCGGGGAGTGGGGCAGGCTTGCTTCAGGTTCCTGGGTGGCAGGTACTGGCTGGAGCTGCCTGGCGGCCGTGGCCTCAGTCCAGCCAGGGGCAGGGAGGCTGGGAAGCACCTGTTCACAGTGGGTCCCGCCGTAACCTTCGCTGCACACGCAGAGGTAGCCATCGCTGGTGCTGCGGCAGTCACCATGGAGACAGGGGTTGCTGGCACAAGGATCGGCGACAAGCTGCAGAGAGACCATAAGTGGGTCAATTATTTCCTCCTAAGACAAGTGGGCAGCAACTGAGCTCTGTGTCTCAGCATTTCTAATCCCCACATTACACCAGGATTCACTCCACCACCGATAACTAAAACCAAAAGGGATATATGATTAGATATTACTGTCATGACAGGAGTCCAGAATGAAGGCTGCACAGTGGAGTGGACTTGGGGGGAGGGATTGAATAACAATGAAAGAATTTTTCTTTTACTTTTCAAAAAGAAAAGCAAATTAGGGGGAAGAGTGGACAGGAAGAAAAGTGCAACAATGAATGAATGGAAATCCAAAGTCTCTGCAAACTTTCATTAAAACCAATTTAAAATTAAAAATAATTAACAAAAAAAAAACCCCAAAACCAAAAAACCTACCAAACAAACAGAAAATCCCCTGCTGTCAAGGCTATTCCAATCCAGAAACTCTCCATAGGGTTTCTGAAGCTGCAAAAGTTAATGGGGGGAGACTATCTCTTCTTTCTCCCACTGCACAGCTAGTGGATTCAAACTCCTGACCTTTCACTTGGCAGCCCAACATGTAGTGCAAGGTGCCACCAGATCTCCTTAAGTAATTAGTGCCAGCAATGTCTCAGAAGTCGTGCAGCCAGAATGCTTCTTAGAGGCAACAATAGTGAGGTGATGTCTCACGGATTTGGGGCATGTTATCAAAAGGGGTCAGTCCCTGGAGAAAAGCACCCTGCTTAGAAAAGGAAAAGGTCAGCAAAGCAGAGAACACCCTCAATGAGACAGCACAGTGACAGCAGCAGTGGGTGGAGACAACAAAGGATCGAGCAGGGATGTACATAAAATATGAGCCCAGGCTGACTTGACGGCATCTAACAACAACAACAACACAACATGTAGGGCAGAACACATTGTTTAGAGGCATTCTGGAAAACAAAACCATTTTTAGATTTTAGAAAAATATACTAAAGGTCACTGTTAAGATAGAGGACTTAAGGAAGAAATCAGAGAGCACGAGAGAAAGCTTAATGCAGCATCATTAAGGGTGGGGGAGAGCTCCCAGGTGAGTTCCTCATCCTGGAGAGGCAGAATGGGAAGTCACGCCGTGAACTTACTGGGGAGGATTTTTATAAACAGAGTCTTGAGGGAGGGACATTCCACTCTGATTCACGAGCCACCTGCTAGCTCAGCCAGTCAGGCCAGGCCGTTTGCTCTTCTTATCAGCAGCAAGCAAGGCCATCAGCATTTGAGTTCTGAATGTTTCATTTTTCTCTCTTTGGTCCCCTTTGCCCAGACTTAACAGTCACCACTGGACTCTTCTTCACACGCTGGACCTTTGCAAGGATGCCTTGTGAGAGGTGCTGGCCTCTTCCACGTCCCCTGCAGGTGCACTCGCCCACACCCCACCTGAGCAACCAACCTTCTGAAGGTGACACTATTGAACCCATGGCTGCAAGATGAACAATCTACACAGCAACTGCTCCCTAAAAGACAGCACGTCGTCACTGTGATCTTAGCACCCCACGTGGCAGAGTAAAACACCCCCCAGGGTCTCCTACATCGTCATCTCTACAGACGGTGCTCTGGTGAGGAAGTCTATAGCTAGAACTGCTAAGTCTTTCTCCTATGAAGTCCATGGGTGGGTTTGAACTGCCAACCTTTTGCTAACTAGCCACACCTTTAATTGTACCAGAAGGCAGATCGAATCCACCAGTCCCTCCTCAGGAGAAGCCTGGGCCGTCTCCTCCTGTTGCTACCTACGTCTCAGAAACCTGACTGAGGTGCTGGTGAGTCAGAACCAACCCACCAACAGCTAGCTTGAATCTGAGTTCTGAGTAGTCTGTTAGGATCCTTTGTGGCATAGCTTGTAAAGGAGCAGGCTGCTGACCTAAAGGCTAGTGGTTCAAATCCACCAGCTACTCCACAGGTGAAAGTGGGTCTTCTCATGTTTAGTCCTGGATGCCTGCCAAGGGTCAGAGTCCATGGGATCTGACCCACCTGCTCTGAGTTTCAGTTTTGAGTCTTTAAAGAAACAGATCACTAAGTCTTGCTCCTGTGAAGTCAATGGATGGGTCTGAACTGTCGACTTTTTGCTAACTAGTCATGCCTCTAATTGCACCATCTTCTAAAGACACTTTAGAAAATGGTGATTTCATTATCTGAAGAGTGCCTGCGGCGGCGTTCCGCCGGGCAGGGCGGACAGCACTTCAGTACCACGTCTTTAAAACATGCTCTGCTCTTAAGTCCTCAATTGCTGACCTTGGAGACACTCTACAAAACAACATAAGCTTCCTCACTGTTCCCCAGACACTTCAAGAGTTCAAGGCCTATTCTCAGTGCTTATCCAATTATAATTTGTTCCTGTGATAAAAGAAAATTAAATCTCCAGCTAATATGTCCCTGGCTTCTAAGAGATGGCTGTAACCCAGAAATCAGTGAGGGGAGAAGTTACAGGAAAGTGGGTCCTCAGTCTCCCTTATCAAAATTAGTACAAACACATATCACATAAGGATAGTCGCCTACTTGGTGAAACAGCTGCTCATTCTGCTAAAGTAGCTTTATCAGTTGTTTTACAACAAACTCCTCAGGGAACTGAAGAGATTTGAGACTAAATAGAATCCCACTCAGAGCTCCGAACATGTATCATTAATTCTCTACTATTCCCTGGCAAGTCCCTCACAAACCTCAGCTAAGGCGAGGATGCTTCCTCTCTCGAGAGAATATGTAAACTCCAAATAAGTGAAACTATTTACAAGTTTTATCAACTCAAAATCAGAAGTCCTTCCACCAAAAGAGTGGGGGATCAAAAGAGAGGAGGAAGACCCTTCAACCAGATGGCCTGGCACAGTGACTGCAGCAATGGGCTAACGTATCAGGGGCTCCTGAGGACGGCACAGGCTAGGACAAGGTTTCATCGGTTATTCATTGTGACCTTACAAGTCTCAGTGGACTCAAGGGCACCTAACAACAACCTTCCACTGCAGCCAAGCCTCTTCCTGATGGCTCCAGCCCCTTCCTGCCTGCTGACCTCCTCTCCTCCCAGCCTCCTTCTCCTCCCTCCTCACCTGTCTCTGTCCCTGACGAGTTCATTCCTCCCAAAGGATGTCTGCATCTCCTGGCCCTCTGCTTGGAATGCCTCCCTGCAACTTTGCAGGCTTCCCTACCTCATTTCATTGGAGCAGTTCACTATTGAAATGTCACCTCTTCCAGGAAGCCTCCCTTGGTTACATAATCTAAAAGCATCTCTCTTTTTGGACTGCTCAGAGAATGAACAAGTTCATCCTAGAGAGGGTTAAACCAGGCTTCTCCCTGGAGCAAGGATTCTGAAGCTTCGTCTGACATACTCTGGACATGTTGAAAGGCAGGATCAGTCCTTGGAAAGAGGGATATCAAGCTTGGGAGGGTGGAGGGACAGCACAGGAGAGGAAGACCCTCGATGAGATGGATTGATTCAGTGACTGGGGTAATGAGGGTAGGTGTGTCAGAGACAATAAGATTGGCACAGGATAGAGCAGGGTTTAGGGCTGTTGTACATAGGGTCGCTATGAGTCACAGGCGATTCGACGCCACCTAACAACTCCCAAAATTGTGAGCTGCCTGTGCTCTCTGTTCCCAGCACAAGAAAGGAAACATGGCTGCGCTTTTGAAAAGCTGTCAAAAGACACAAAGGTACAGGTTTACGGATTTGGGGGAAGCAAAGCACGAAGGAGTCACGTGAATTGCTTGTCTCACTTCTGATTTCTTTTTAGCAAAGTTTGACCAAACTGCGGCACTGCCACTGAGTAGATTCTGGCCCACAGGGCAGCTTTCCAAGGCTGGGAACTTTTCCAGGGAGAGATTGCCAACCCGTCCTCTGCACAGCCACTGGCAGATCCAGACGACTGACCTTGATGTTAGAAGCACAACACGTATCACGCTATGCCAACTGAGCTCCTCATTTAACAAACGGGAGACAGAACTTGGTTATCAAGGGTGTTAAAAACCATGTCTGAACCAAGACCCTCGTGAAGAAGTTCATCATGCTCACTGACAGCACCCTGTACCACCAGTGGTACGAGTCCCACTGTGTGCTACCCCTGGGTTGCAAGAAGGGGGCTAAGCTGACTCCTGAGGAGGAAGATATTGTACACCAAAAGCAATCAAAGAAAATTCAGGGAAAATGCAATGAAAGGAAAAAGACTGAAAAAATCAGCAATCTGCTAGAGGAGCAGTTCTAACAGGGCAAGCTTCTTGCAGGTATCGCGTCCAGGACAGGCCAGTGTGGCCGCGCAGATGGCTATGTGCTAGAGGGCGAGGGGCTGGAATTCTACCTGAGGAAAATCAAGGCTCGGAAAGGCAAATAAATCTCCCTCCCGTTTAGCACATGTATTAAAGGTGTTTATTCTAAACAAACAAAAAGGAACCCCATAACGCCCCAACTATGTTTGTCAGATAAGCTTTGAAAACATTGAGGGAAACTTAGTCTTAAAGTAATGGTTTTAATCCTCTCTCTTACAGGGTCACTGTGAGGTGGAATCAGTTCTACAGCAACAGGTTTGAGGGGTTTTTTGGTCTTGAACATTCTGCTACTTGCGAAAAAGTGCGCAGTTCGAGCCCTCCAGCGGCTCCACCAAAGAGAGCTTCAGCAGCTGCTTCCACAAAGATCTTTGTCCACTTCTAGCTGACCCTTCAGGGGGTTTTCAGAGGCTGCAAACTGTAGGGGAGGAGACTGTGCATCCCACCTTTAGGTCAGCACCATGAACTACACCACCAGATTGCAACCTTGAAGCCCTGCAGCCAGCCAGTTGTTCTGTGTTGCGTAGTCACCATTACGTGGCGTAATCTCTGTAACAGTGATTCTTTCTTGCTTTATTTTGTGTTTCTTTTAATGCTATTTTTAGGGGAAAAGATACGACAGTGGCAATATTCATTAAATACTGATTGAGTGCTTACCCCTTGCCTGGAACTTTACCCCAAAACAGACCATAACCAGATCTGAGAATAAAATGCTAAGAACAGCTCCAGTGGTGG